AAACACAAAATGTATTGATAGTTTGGGACATAATCTGCAGGGAGTGGCTTTCTGTTTGAGCAGGCTTGGGAGTTGGGGTTATCATCACATCCTTGATATCTTTGCAGTTACAAGAGATCACACTGTTTTGACTTGCCTGTTCCATTCCTCACCCCCATCCCATAAACTCTTTGAAGAGTTGTTGTTTGAAGTTCCCTTTACATCTTTAGGAGTGACATTCCATGGTGTTCTCTCTCTCCAGACAGCCATTTTATTTACCTTTTTTAAAATTACATATATTTGGCTATCTTAACCCTCTTAATAGAGCTCATTTTGGAATTACAAGTTAAACATGTCCATTATATTTCTGGATTCTGACTTGTGTCCATGACATAATGTCCATCCTGATCACACTATTTCTCACTGTACATTGTGCAGAGTTCTTGAATAGGCTGAATGATGCCACTTTCAGATCTGAAATGTGCTCAGACTACTTCATGTTATCCTGGAGAGATAAGATAGCTCAAAAATTTGAGCAACAGTGAAGCTTGCTGTTTCATGTTAATACTATGCACTAGTGGCATGAGTGGTAATTGCCCCTCTCAGGATGCTGTTGTTAAGCCGAAAAGACAGTGTCTATCATGCAAATGAGTAATGTGGTAATTCATGGATATTCAGGGTATGAATGCAGTCTGTCAAGCATTTGTGATGTGTTTGAGGGTGATGCTCATTTGTTTGTGTACTTTTTTCTTCATAGTTATAATTGCTGAATCAAATTCTGACATCTGCGACACAGAAACAGCTGGTGTAATAATAATTTTTCAATAGGAACCATTGTTTAGCTAATGTTTATAATTCAGGAGATGAAAATCAAGATAAATTGAATAAAAAAAGACTATCCAAGGAATGCACTGTTCCATGCCTGCTTTACAGCCATAGCACAGAGACCCAAGTGTTCAGTATGTTGGGTAGCGTGAGCGTGCACATTTTATGCTGGAAATATACAAGTAAATCTACAAGTAAAGACTTCCATATGAATAGACTTTGGTCATTAAGTCAGCTGCATCGTTCGATCATGACTATGTTTCTCCACCCCATTCTCTTGCCTTCTCCCCATCACCCTTGATCCCCTTACTCATAAAGCAAATTTCTATCTCCGTCTTAAGTGTACTCCATGACTTCGCCTCCACAGCCTTCTGCAACAATGCATTCCACAGTTTCACCACCCTCAGGCTGAAGAAATTCATCCTCATCTCAGTTCTGAAAGGTTGTCCCTTCATTCTGAGGTTGTGCCTTCAGGTCTTAGTCTCTCCTGCTAGTGGAAACATGTTGTCCATGTTCACTTTATCCAGGGCTCTCAGTATTCTGTAAGTTTCAATGAAATACTCCCTCATCCTTCTAAACTTCATCGAGTACACACCTAGTGTCCTCAACTGCTCCTCATGTGACAAACTCTTCATCCTCAGGATCATTCTTGTTAACATCCACTGCACCCCTGCCCAAAACTGCTTACAATATTCCAAATGTGGTCTGACCAGAGGCTTAAACAACCTCAGCAGTACATCTCTGCCTTTGTATTCTAGCCCTCTTGAAATGAATATTAGCATTGCATTTGCCTTCCTAACTGCCAATTAACCCTGCTTGTTGACATTAAGCAAATCCTGAACTAGGACTCCGAAGTCTCTTTGTGCTTCAGATTTCCAAAGCCTTTCCCTCTATTCTTTCTATCAAAGTGCATAGCCTCACATTTTCCCATATTGAATTCTATCTGCCACTTCTTTGCCCATTTCTCCTTGCCTGTTCAAGTCCTTCTGCAGCTTCCACAACACACCTGTCCCTCCACCAATCTTTGCTTCATCTGCAAACTTAACAACAATGCACTCAGTTCCTTCACACAGATCATTAATCCACTAATCACTGGCTACTAACAGACCCTTTTACCCCTACTCTTTGCCTTCTGCCAGTCAGCCACTCTTCTATCCATGCCAGTACCTTGCTCCTAAAACCATGGGCGCTTATCTTATTTAGCAGCTTCCTGTGTAGCACCTTGTCAAAGGCCTTCTAGAAATCCAAATACATCAAGTCCACTGGCTCTCCTTTGTCTAATCCGCTTGATATCTCCTTAAAGAATTCTAACAAATGTTTCAGGCACGACCTCCCTTTGATGAAACCATGCTGACTCAGCTCTATATTACCGTGCACTTCCAAGTACTCCATAATCTCATCCTTAATAATAGACTATAAAATCTTACAGCAATGAGATCAGGCTAACCAGTCAATAATTTTCTGAGATAGTAGGAACTGCAGATGCTGGAGAATCTGAGATAATAAGGTGTAGAGCTGGATGAACACAGCAGGCCAAGCAGCATCAGAGGA